GTTAACTTGCATTATCATTTTGTGAATAGGTTGGGTATCTTTCATTGCGTTTAAAAACCATGTGTATTTCTTTCTCTTTTTTTTTTATTGCGGTACGCGGGCCTCCCACTGTTGTGGCCTCTCCCGTTGCGGAGCACAGGCTCCAGATGCACAGGCTCAGCGGCCATGGCTCACGGGCCCAGCCGCTCCACGGCATGTGGGATCTTCCCGGACCGGGGCACGAACCCATGTCCCCTGCATCGGCAGGCGGACTCTCAACCACTGCGCCACCAGGGAAGCCCCATGCCTATTTCTTTGTGGTCTTTTTCTTGATGATTTGAAGAAACTCTTTTCATATTAACGCTATCATCTGTGTATAAGTTGAGAGGATTTCTTTTCATCCTAATCATGGGCTTTTGACTTAGTGTATGGTGATTTTGCTAGGCAAAAACATGCCATTTTTCTTGGCCGCACTGCGTGGCTTGTGGGGTCTTAGTTCCCCAACCGGGGATCTAGCCCGTGCCCCCCCGCAGTGGAAGCACGGAATCCTAACCACTGGACCGCCAGGGAACCCCCGCCATTTTTTTTTTTAAGTTGCATTCAGTGATGTACTGGGACTAGCTCTTACTGGTTGGCGAGAGCCAGTTGTGCCATTGTGTCCATCTTTTCCCGCTTCGGGGTTCAGAGGCTTCAAATTAGGTGCTTGAAATTGGCCAAGATGGGAGTTTTTACACAGAGGAAATTGACAAGTGCTACAAAGCAGGAAGATATGAGCCCTTAGGCAATGAAAGAGACAGACAGACAGACAGGCAGACTGAAGCTAGCTTTCTCTCTGTCCTGCCAGGACCTGAAAGTCTGGGCCAAAGCCTATCTCTCCCAGTCCAGGAGGGCCAGTTCCTACGCCTGGACTGTGTTGCCGACAGCAACCCTCCTGCCAGGATGAGCTGGATCCGGGGGAGCCTGACCCTGAGCCCCTCCAATTCCTCGAACCCTGGGGTCCTGGAGCTGCCCCGGGTGCAACTGGGGGACCATGGGAAATATGTCTGCCGAGCTCAGCATCCGTTGGGCTCTAATGAAGCATCTCTGAGCCTCGTTGTGAAAAGTGAGTTGGAACACACCTGAGGGAAGGACGGCTGGGTTCTAGGGAGGGGAGAGTCTCCTCTGATCCCTCCCATCTCTCCCCACAGACCCCCCGCAGCTGCTGGGACCCTCCTGCTCCCAGGAGGAGGAAGGTCTGCACTGCGACTGTTCCTCCGGAGCCCAGCCGGCCCCCTCCCTGCGCTGGCGGCTGGGGGAGGGGCTGCTGGAGGGGAATTTCAGCAACGCCTCCTTCAAGGTCACCTCCAGCTCGGCTGGGCCCTGGGTCAACAGCTCCCTGAGCCTCCACGAGGGGCTCAGCTCTGGCCTCCGACTCAGCTGCGAGGCCCAGAACGGCCACGGGAAACAGAGCGCCACTGTCCTGCTGCTGCCAGGTCTGGGAGCTATGAAGGGCCGTGTCCGGGGACAGGGGACACACGAGTCTGCGTCCTAGAAGATACTGAGAGGGAGAGAAATGGGCCTGATTCAGGGCAAAAGGGGAACTAGAGTTCATGGTCCTCTGTCGGTTGGCTGGGGTGGGGGCTGGGGACACAGGAACCTACAATTATATAGAAGGATGGGGGACAAAGGACAGAGTCCTGGATAGAAGTGGGCACACTCGTGGGTCATGGATTTGAGAAGGCTCGTCACTTAGGTGCCTGCTTAGGGAGACTGCAGGTCACCCCAAGTCTCCTATTTGCAGGAAGGCCAGCACCCAGGACCGGTGTGGTTTGGGGGGCCGTCGGGGGATCCGGCGTCACAGCCCTCCTAGCTCTCTGCCTCTGCCTCATCTTCTTTGTGTGAGTGGTGGTCCCAGTTTGGGACAAGACTTCCCGAGGTGGTGGTATGGGGGGCAAGGGGCGAAGGAGGGGGAGACTTAAAGAAATTTTCAAAACTCAAAGCTCAGAGCTGAGGGCCCTGGTAGAGTGATGAAGCCGGGAAGGAGGGCCGTTAGTCGAAGCGGCATCAGGAATGCAGCCTCCTGACATCTTGGCCAAGTGTGGACTCTAGTGCCAGCCATCCTGGAGGAGGGAACAGGTGTTCTGGTCATGGTCTCTGCAGCTGGACGCCAGCCTGCATTCAGTCAGTCCTTCTCAGCTCCATGCAGTGAGTCCACCAAGCGAAGAAAGGCCCTGGTCTCTCTTTTCAGAGTGAAGATCTACAGGAAGAAATCAGCGGAGAAGGCATCAGGCAGAGATGGCGTCCGTCCCGCACTGACTTCCATCTCTCTGGTGAGTGATGTGGGCAACTTTCCATCCAGTGTCTCCACTGGACACCTCTCCCCTAACAGGGCCCGTAGCAGCTTACTCAGCACCTCAAAAAAATGAGTTCGTCCTCCCCACCTGCAAATTTGTTCTTCCTCCTGAATTTCCTGTTGCACTCAAGTCACCCTCTCCTCTTTCCCCTCTATCACTTCCCAGAGCCAAGAATTGCCCAAGTCCTGTCCATCTTCCTTTTAGCAAAGCTCATCTCCATTTGGCCCCTTCCCTGCTGAGCCCTCACATTCTCTCTGCCGGGTCACTGGCTTCATCTCTCCTCCCCGAACAAGCTCTCGGCAAGAAATTCCCCTAATGGCTGTCCTTCGGTCACCCTGTGCTTGCTCCCCACTGTCTAGATCCAACAGAAATATGATGCGAGCCATGTATATAACTTAAAACTTAGCCACGTGAGTAAAGTAGAAAGGAACATGAGATCAATTTTAATATAATATTTTATTTAACCCAACGTAGCCAAAGTGTTATTTCAAACATCATGTCATCAACAGTCAACATAAACATACAAATTATTGAGATTTCTCTTTCTTTCTTTCTTTTCTTCTTTCTTTCTTTTTCTTTCTTCCTTCCTTCTTCCCTCCCTCCCTCCCCCTCCCCCTTTCTTTCTTTTTTTTTTAAATTTATTTATTTTTAGCTGCATGGGTCTTTGTTGCTGCACACAGGCTTTCTCTAGTTGCAGCGTGTGGGGGCTACTCTTCGTTGTGGTGCGTGGGCTTCTCATTGTGGTGACTTCTCTTGTTGTGGAGCACGGGCTCTAGGCGCACGGGCTTCAGTAGTTGGGGCTCACAGGCTCAGTAGTTGTGGCTCTTGGGCTCTAGAGTTCAGGCTCAGTAGTTGTGGCTCACGGGTTTAGTTGCTCCATGACATGTGGGATCCTCCAGGGACCAGAACTCAAACCCATGTCCCCTACATTTGCAGGTAGACTCTTAACCACTGCGCCACCAGGGAAGCCCCTCTTTCTTTCTTTCTTTCTTTCCTTCTTTCTTCCTTCCTTCCTTCCTTCCTTCCTTTGTTCCTTCATTCCTTCCTTCGTTTCTTTCTTTCTTTCCTTCTTTCTTCTTTCTTTTTTTTCTTTCTTTCTTCTTTCTTTCTTTTTTCTTTCCTTCTTTCTTCTTTCCTTCTTTCCTTTTCTTCTTTCTTTTTTCTTTCCTTCTTTCTTTCTTTCTTTCTTTTTTTCTTTCCTTCTTTCTTCCTTCTTTCTTTCTTTCTTTCTTTCTTTCTTTCTTTCTTTCTTTCTTTCTTTCTTTCTTTCTTTCTTTCTTTTTTCTTTCTCTTTCTTTCTTTCTTTCTCGACTTTGAACTCCAGCATGCATTTTGTACTCACAGCACATCTTTGTTCTGACTCACCACGTTTCATGGGCTCAAGAGCCATGTGTGGCTGGGGGCTCCTGCGCTGGACAGCGCAGGCCTAGGAAATCAAGACCAAATTCTTCAGTCTGGTGTTCTGTGATCTGTCCCCTGCCAAATTCTCCAGCCGGCATCCTGTCCCTCCCCACAAAATGAGCTTATTATATTCTATGATATTATGATTTATAATAAGAAATATATATTTGGTCTTTATCCCCTATTACTGGCACAGAGCTCCTAGAACCCTTGAACTTTCCTGTGATGGGAGTGATAAAAGTATTTCTTGTTATATTCATGGAGTGACTTTTGGGAAGCACCTAAGGATGGGGGCTGGTTGCTGGGAGAACCAAGCATGCAATTGGGGGATTGGAACTTTCAGTCCCACGCCCTGACCTCCAGGGATGGGAAGGGGCTGGAGGATGAGTTCAATCCCAAGGGCCAATGATTCAGTCAATCATGACTATGGAATGAAGCCTCCGTAAAATCCCTCAAAGTATGGGGCTCAGAGAGCTTCCAGGTTGGTGAACAAGTGGAGATTTGAAGAGATTGAAGCAATCGGAGAGGGCATGGAAACTGCACCCTTTCCCTATACCTTGCCCTACACATCTCTTCCATCTGGCTGTTCCTGAGTTATATACTTTAATTTAAAAAAACAGCTAACTTAATAAGTGAAATATTTCTCTGAGTTCTGTGAGCTGCTCTAGCAAATGAATGGAATCTGAGGAGAGGGGTTGTGGGAATCTCTGATCGACAGCTGTCTGGTCAGAAGCACAGGTGAGAATCTGGGACTTGTGATTGGCATGTGAGGTTGAGGGTGGGACAGTCTTGTGGGACCGAGCCCTTAACAGTGTCAGAATTGAGCTGAATGGTAGGACACCCAGCTGGTGCTGCAGACGTGCTTGTTGGTGTGCAAATCCCCCCGCCCTGCCCCATATTGTAAGTGGTTCCAGGGTCCTTATATCTCCAGGCAGGGCTCACTCTTTGTGACTTTGTGCGTTTGCATTCGAGATTTCCTCTGTCCTGGTCCCATTTGCACTGGTCAAGCCCTCAGTCATCTTTCTTGCCCCAATTAATTTTTTTATTTATTTTTTATTGATCTATAATTGATTTACAATATTGTGTTAGTTTCTGGTATACAGCAAAGTGATTCCTATATATATATTCTTTTTCAGATTATTTTCCATTATAGTTTATTAAAAGATATTATACGTAGTTCCCAGTGCTATACAGTAGGACCCTGTTGATTATCTGTTTTATATGTAATAGTGTGTATCTGCTAATCCCAAACTCCTGATTTATCCCTCCCTGCCTCCCCTGTAACCATAAGTTTGCTTTCTGTCTGTGAGTCTGTTTCTGTTTTGTAAATAAGTTCTTTTGTATCATTCTTTTAGATTCCACATATAAGTGAAATCATATGATATTTGTCTTTCTCTGTCTGACTTACTTCACTTAGTATGATAATCTCTAAGTCCACCCATGTTGCTGAAAACGGCATTATTTCCTTCTTTTGTTAAAAAATGTATTTTATTGAAGTATAGCTGATTTACAATGTTGTGTTAATTTCTGCTGTACAGCAAAGTGATTCAGTTTTATATATATATATATATATATATATACACACACACACACACATTCTTTTTCCTATTCCTTTCCATTATGGTTTATCACTGGATATTGCTTTTTTTTAATTAATGAACTTATTTATTTATTTTTGGCTGCGTTGGGTCTTCATTGCTGCATGTGGGCTTTCTCTAGTTGCGGCAAGCGGGGGCTACTCTTCGTTGCAGTGCACGGGCTTTTCGTTGCAGTAGCTTCTCTTGTTGCAAAGCATAGGCTCTAGGGGCACAGGCTTCAGTAGTTGTGGCACGTGGGCTCAGTAGTTGTGGCTCGTGGGCTTAGTTGCTCTGCAGCATGTGGGATCTTCCCGGACCAGGGCTCAAACCCATGTCCCCTGCATTGGCAGGCGGATTCTTAAGCACTGTGCCACCAGGGAAGCCCTATCACTGGATACTTAGTCCCCTGTGCTATACAGTAGGGCCTTGTTGTTTATCCATTCTATATATAATAGTTTGCATCTGCTAATGCCAAACTCCCAATCCATCCCTCCCCCACCCCACCCTCCTTGGCAACCACAAGTCTGTTCTCTATGTCTGTGAGTCTGTTTCTGTTTTATTTCATTCTTTTTTAATGTCATGCCAATTTATGTCATTTAAATATTCCCCTGCCCTATACCAGACCGACTGTCGTCATGCATCCCTGTAATAATCACAGGCCTGTCCCCACCACACTGTGAGCCCCTGGAGGGTAGTTCAGGTCTCCTGCAGACCTCTGTGACTCTCACCCACAGCACCCTGCTTCTGTCCATCAAATCACAATTTGCAATTCGATAAGTTTTGAGTGCGCAAACAATTTCATACAGTCCCTTGTCCTCATAGACTGTCCAAGGTCAGGGATCTTGTCTGTGGAAGAATCACTTCACCTTGCTCACTCAGTCTGTTTTCCTAACTGTAAAATGAGGATAACATTTATATCATCCGTGGAGGGAAGTTATGAGCATTCAGTGGGGTGAGAAACAAGAAGAACAGACCACTATGATTAAAGGAATGAATGAATGAGTGAGTGAGTGAATGAGTGAATCCTCAGGAAATGGGTGTGAAATGGATAAGGGAATAATTGCCCCCCTCAAGCCCCAGGTTCCCTTCTCCAGACCTCAACAGCCAGCTCTGAAGCTCTTCTCTCGTCCCACTCAGGGTCACCTCAATGAATCCTGTTCAGACAGCCCCTCGGACTACCAGACCCCAGCTCCGGCCACCTCCACCCCAGGGAAGGAGCAGGAGCTCCATTACGCCACCCTCAACTTCCACAGGCTGAGGACCCACAACTTTCAGGACCAGGACACCACTGAGTACTCAGAGATCAAGATCCAGAAATGATGCCCCCGCCCCCAACCCCAGAACCAGGCTGGAGCCCAGAAGGTGCATCTCTGAAGAAAATGTGTGCCAGGCACCGATTCTTGAGGACTTGGCTGCCCTCTGAGCCAGAGCTTACAAATGAGGAGGTGAAGCTCCTTGGAGCGGCTGAAGGGCACAGAGAGTCCTAGGTTCAAATCCAGACCCTGGCAACCCTAAGGGTGTTATATCAGGCAAATCACTTTACCTCTCTGTGCTTCAGTTTCCTTCTCTGTAAAATGGGGATAATATCCATTAGGCACATTGTTAAGTGGGAAAAATGCACTTTGGGAGCTGCTAACTACATTGTTATGTGTTAAGTTAGCCTCAGCATGGAGGGAGATGTCAGCTCTACCACATATTTCTGTTTTGCCTGACTGTTTTTAAGAACATGAATTATTTTTTGTTTGTTTGTTTTTCCGGGAGGGAGGAGATAAAACATGTATTATTTTTTTTAAGTAAATCTAAATTTACCTCTCTGGATGGAGACGATATTTCCCAATACATGTACCTAACAAAGGACACCCAGGATATATAATGAATATTTTTTTTAATAATAAATAATTTAAAAATAAATTTGAAGGCTTCCCTGGTGGCGCAGTGGTTAAGAATCCGCCTGCCAATGCAGGGGACACGGGTTCAAGCCCTGGTCTGGGAAGATCCCACATGCCGCGGAGCAACTAAGCCCATACGCCACAACTACTGAGCCTGTGCTCTAGAGCCCTCGAGCCACAACTACTGAAGCCGCGTGCCACAACTACTGAAGCCCGCATGCCTAGAGCCCGTGCTCCGCAACAAGGGAAGCCACCGCAATGAGAAGCCCGCGCACCGCAACGAAGAGTAGCCCCTGCTCACCCTGACTAGAGAAAACCCGCATGCAGCAACAAAGACCCAACGCAGCCAAAAATAAATAAAATAATAATAAATATATATTTTTTAAAATAAATAAATTTGAAAAAAAAATTTAAAGGGTTATGTAAAGAGCTTCCACGAATCCATTAGAAAAAGGCAGACAACCGAATACAAAGACAAAATAGTCAAATGGCCAATAAGCATAGAGAAAAGTATTCAACTTCTGTCGCTGTCAGGGAAATAAAAATTAAAATCACAGTGGTGCCAACTGCATAGTCACACTGGCTAAGGTAATAAAAATAATGTCAAGGAAATCAAGTGTTGAGGATATTACGCTAAGTGAAATAAACAGTTACAGAATGACAAATGCTGCATGATTCCAGCTCTAGGAAGTATTTAAGGAAATCAAACTCTGAAACAGAAGGTAGAGGGGCCCTGGGGGAGACTCAGAGAAGGGGAGTTAGGAAATTGCTCTTCAATAGGTGTAGAGATTCATTTTTGCAAGATGAAAACATGCTAGAGATTTGATGGCCAACAATGTGCATGTCATTAACATTACTGTACCGTGCACTTAAAAATGGTTACGATGAAAAAAAAAAAAAAAAAAAAAAATGGTTACGATGGTAAATTTTATGTTTTTTTTTTTACCACAATGTTTTTAAAAGTACTGTACAGTGGTTACCAGGGGCTGGGGACTGGGGGTGTCGGTGGACAGTTAATGTTTAGTGGGTACAGAATTTCAGTTTCGGAGGATGAAAAAGTTCTAGAGACAGACGGAGGTGATGGTTGCACGATGTGAATATGCTTAACGCCATTGAATTGTACACTTGAAACATGGTTAAACCAGTATGTCATGGGTACTTCATCACAATAAAAAATGTTTCCTTAAAGAACATCAGGGGGCTTCCCTGGTGGCGCAGTGGTTGAGAGTCCGCCTGCTGATGCAGGGGACACAGGTTCGTGCCCCGGTCCGGGAAGATCCCACATGCCGCGGAGCGGCTGGGCCTGTGAGCCATGGCGGCTGAGCCTGCGCGTCCGGAGCCTGTGCTCCGCAACGGGAGAAGCCACAGCAGTGAGAGGCCCGTGTACCGCAAAAAAAAACAAAAACAAAAAGAACATCAAGTGTTGGTGAAGATGTGGAGCAACTGGAACTCTCCTACACTGCTGGTAGGAGTGAGAATTGGTACAACCACTTGGGAAAGACTTTGTCACTCTCTACTAACACTGAGCACATGAGACAGCCATTCAACTCCCAGGTGTGCGCCCAACAGAAGCGCGTACACATGTTCACCATATGTATACAAGGGTGTTCATAGCAGTGCTTGTTGTAAGGGCTGAAAACAGGAACCTGCCCAAATTCCCATCAACAGTAAGACAGGTGACAACAAGGTTCTACTGTATAGCACAGGAAACTATATTCAGTACCTTGTAATAAGCCATAGTGGAAAAGAATATGAAAAAGTACATATATATATATATATATATACACATATATAATATGGCTGAATCACTGTGCCGTACACCAGAAACTAACGCAACGTTGTAAATCGACTATACTTCAGTCTAAAAAACAAAAAACAGTAAGACAGGTAAATAGAGAGTAAATTATTTACGCAATGGAAAAAGTAACAACTGCACACAACATGTATGAATCTTCCAAACAATGTTGAGTGAAAGGACCCAGACACAAAGCATACCTACTATGTGATATCCTTGATATGAGGTTCAGACAAAACTCATCTTAAAAAAAAAAGGAAAAAAGGGCTTCCCTGGTGGCGCAGTGGTTGAGAGTTCGCCTGCCGATGCAGGGGACGCGGATTTGTGCCCCGGTCCGGGAGGATCCCACGTGCCACGGTGCGGATGGGCCCGTGAGCCATGGCCACTGAGCCTGCGCGTCCGGAGCCTGTGCTCCGCAACGGGAGAGGCTGCAACAGTGAGAGGCCTGCGTACTGAAAAAAAAAAAAAAAAAAAAAAGGAAAAAAAGTTAAAAAGCAGCTTTCACTGCTGAGGGGACTAAGATCCCACAAGCCATGTGGCGCAGCTGAAAAAAAAATCAAAAACCCTAATCTTAGGTGTTAGAAGTCCATATACTGGTTACCCTCAGTGGGTACTGGCTGTAGGAGGGCAGTAGGGGTATCCTGGGGTTTCCAGTAAGGATCTGTTTCTTGATCTGGGCATTCATTTCTCAGATATATTCACTCTATGAAAGGTTGTTGTTGTTTTTTAAATACTGGGTCCTACTCCTATCCTTTTCTTTTTTTCAAATTTATTTTTATTTTTGGCTGCATTGGGTCTTTGTTGCTGCGCACGGGCTTCCTCTAGTTGCAGCGAGCGGGGGCTACTCTTTGTTGCAGTGTGTGGGTTTCTCACTGCAGTGGTTTCTCTTGTTGCGGAGCGTGGGCTCTAGGGCACCAGGGTTTCAGTAGTTGCAGCACACAGGCTCAGTAGTTGTGGCTCCCGGGCTCTAGAGCACAGGCTCAGGAGTCGTGGCGCACGGGATTTGTTGCTCTGTGGCATGTGGGATCTTCCCGGACCGGGGATTGAACCCGTGTCCCATGCATTGGCAGGCGGATTCTCAACCACTGCGCCATCAGGGAAGTCCCTATGAAACATTTTTGAGTCAAACAATTATGATGTGTGCTCTTTTCTATATGAATATTACTCTTGAATAAAATTTACATTAAGCTTTAAAAAGATGATCCTTGCAAGTTTCTAACTCTGATCTCCACCAAACGATAAGCTTCCCCAGGGCAGGGACAGTACTATGTCCAGCCTTGTGTCTTCAGAGCCTAGCCTTGGACACAACACATCAACTGGGCTCAGTAAACCTTTGAAATGATTTGCACTCAAGTGCAAGGGGAAGACACAGCCGGGCTCTGCTGAGGCTTCCCATGTTGTTTCCAGCCCAAGCCTCTGTCCTAAGTTCTGAATCCCAGTGTCCTCCACATCTCTCCCTGATTGACCACAGGTGCTTCGCTTTCAGTGTATCCCAAGCCGGACTCTGCATCACCCCTCAAGCCTGGTTCTCGCCTGGGTCCTCCGTCCAGGACTCGAGAATGTCCATCCAGCAGCATGGTGCCTGACTCGCAGTATCAGCCCAGGAGAGCATCGCACCCTTGTGCCTGGATCAGCGCCATCTCCCACCAGGACACAACTCCTGGCCCAGCACGTCTTGGATCTTGTGAAACAGGCCTCCTCCCCTTCTCCAGTCTCTCTGGTTTCCATTTAGGTTCCTCTCTGTCTGTTCCTCCAAGAGGCCACTGTCCTAACCACTTCCTGAATTGGTGAGTCTGCATCTTCTTCTCCCCCCGGGGCCCCTGTATAAAGTGCCTCAAGACCCAGCTACCAGGTCCAGTAGTATTCAAGGCCCAGCTTTCAGCATGAAGCCTTCTTCAACCCTGTCCTATCATCTGGGGAAGAGTCTTTTTAAAAAATATTTATTTATGTATTTGCATTGGGTCTTAGTTGTAGCAGGCAGGCTCACCGGCTCCTTCGTTGCAGCTTTTCAGTTCCTTAGGTGTGGCATGAGAACTCTTACTTGTGGCATGCATGTGGGATTTAGTTCCCGGACCAGGGATCAAACCCAGGCCCTCTGCACTGGGACCGCAGAGTCTTAACCACTGTGCCACCAGGGAAGTCCTCTGGGGAAGATTCTGGAACTCCCTCCTCTGGAACCCCGCAGACCTCATTCATCTCTCCACTGTAGTTTTAATCACAGGGCCTAGAGGCTGTCTAACCTGTCTTAGTGAAGGCAGGGGAGGGCAGCTATTAAAACTGTAAGCCCTAACCCTCCTGCATTGTTGGTAGGGATGTAAATTGGTGCAGCCATTATGGAAAGCAGTATGTAGGTTCCTTAAAAAACTAAAAATAGAGTTACCATATGATCCTGCCATCCCACTCCTGGACATATTTCCAAAGAAAACTCTAATTCAAAAAGATACCTGCACCCCAATGTTCACAGCAGCACTATTTACAGTAGCTAAGACATGGAAACAACCTAAATGTCCGTCGAGAGTTGAGTGAATCATGAAGATGTGATATTCATACGCAATGGAATATTACTCAGCCACAATAAAGAATGAAATAATGCCATGTGTAACAGCTTGGATGGACGGAGAGATGATCACACTAAGTGAAGAAAGTCAGACAGAGAAAGACAAATACCATATGATGTCACTTACATGCGGGATCTAAAATAATGACACAAATGAACTTACCTATGAAACAGAAACAGACTCAGTTATAGAGAACAGACTTGTGGTCGCTGAGGAGGGGAGGGGTGGAAGAGGGGAGGGGATGGCTTGGGAGTTTGGGATTAGCAGATGCGAACTATTATATATAGAGTGGATAAACAACAAGGTCCTACTGTACCGCACAGGGAACTGTATTCAATATCTTGTAATAAACCATAATGGAAAAGAAAAACATGGTAAGCCCTTTCCTAATAACCACAAAATGGAAAAAGTCCAAATATCTATCAATGGATGAATGAATAAACAAAATGTGATCCTTCCCTACAATGGCATATCATTCAGCCATAAAAGCACGGATACGCGCTACGACGTGGATGAACGTCAATAACATGCTAAATGAAAGATGCAAGACACAAATGGTCACATGTTGTAAAATTCCATTTATATGAAACCTCCAAAATAGATAAATCCATAGAG